GTCACAATTATTTCTAGTCATTAGATGTTCAATTTGATGGTTTGGAATGTGTCACAAAATTTGAGATTTTTTTTTAACTTTGAGCCTAGTTAATGATCATCTTACAATAACCCCATTTGAGTTTAGTTAATGATCATCTTACAATAATCCGATTTGAAATCTGATATACAATAGTGATCGTAAGCTCCTTGTACCAAAAATAAATGATCGTGTTGTATGCTTTTCCTTATAAAATCCCGTGTTAAAAATATGATGTTTGATGCATCGGGGGCCAACCCATGATTTCCAAAGAAAAATGTGGAAGCTTTTTCCATGGGGAAAGCATAAGCAACCTATCGTACCAAAATAAGAACCCATCAATTTCTCCCCACTTATGGGGATTCAGAGGGGGACCGGAATGAAAACATTGGCACAAACCCAATAAAGAGGGATATATGCACTCCGAAGTTTGTAGGAGATCCAACTTAAAACCTAAGGAATATGAAAATATCGTATAGAATATGGCGAGAGAGAGAGATTTGAGGCGATCGAGAAGTTATCACCGTGCAATGAGTAAATCGGAGAGTGATGGAGAGAGAAGCCACCATCCAAGTGGGTTCCAGTTGGTCTCCCTTTCTATCTATCACCGTCAAAAGATCACATGGAAGTTGATGAACCTCAGAACCATAGACTTCCTATGATCATGTGGAGTGGGTGGCAATGGAACGGGCTTAGGCCAGGCTGCCGCTGCCCCTAGCCCTCAATTTCAGGCTCAAGCCCAGTCTGGCCTAGCCCCTGACTGGGCCTAAAAGGCCATGGCTTAGGCCAGGCCACCCTTGACCCTACCCCCAATTTGAGGCTCTGGCCCTAGCCCTGACCAAGCCAATAAGGCCATGTTCCAGGCCAAGCCCCAACCCTATTAGGGCCGGGCAAGGCCAAACTCAGCCAGCCTTGGCCCAAGCGTGGCACGGCCGTAGTGCCACATTTCATGGCCTAGGTCCTAGTTTTTTAGGACCACTTCATTATGATGTGTGGGGGGTTGGGGCCGGCAGGGGGAAAGAGAGCTTGTTCTAGAAGACAGAGAAAAATAAGAAAGGTAGAAAGGGACGTAGCACCGATAGTATATGTTTAATTGTATGATTGGGATACAAGGGAATGAAAAATAGGAGAAGGGACAGTGGCCTCAACTTCACCCTTGTTTAAGCAACTATCTCTCACCCTATTTCCTCGGTCTTAACCCCAATGTATGAGCGACCTCCAACTTACCTCGCGTACCCCTCCAAATGGGGTGGCTTCAATCTCTTCTCTCTCCATTGAGGAAGCTCTGGGAACGCCTCCATTTCTCACCAGCAAGGAACAGTAAGTCTCTCTCTCCTGTTTTTCTTTTTATATGTCAACAGTGAGATTGGAGGGCGGCGGGATGTTATGTTAAAGCATCCGCACCACGAACCCCCCCCTCCCCTCACACTCACACAGTCATTTCTCTCTTAAACCCTCCCTCATTTCCTTCTTTCATGACTCAAATTAGTATTAGTACTGTCTTAGTATAATCTAGAAATGGTCTTAGTTTTTATATGCATCGCTTCACAGGGAGAGGGATATACATTCTATACGAAGATGTGAAGTCATGCCCCTATGAGGACGTTCACGTACTCTGGTCAATCCTCGTGGAGTCCCATGCGAAGTCTCTACCAGCATTGCCATCAGTTTGAACAATGAAGATGTTGTACATACACACACATATATATACATACATATGTACATAAATACGTATATAGATATTATAAGTAAATTTATTTTGTTTGTTTTGTGTCTGTTTTAGTTTTAGCAACATTTGGATGGGAGTCACACCCCTGAATCTTGGAGTCACCTCCATGATGCTTGCCAAACCAGTTGATCATAAATTGACAGAAGAATCTCTCTCTCTCTCTCTCTCTCTCTCTCTCTCTCT